GCAACAAGCCTAACTCGATCGCGAGTCCGCATTCCTGAGCCCTTCAAAACTTTTGATGAGCTTGCTGGACCAAGCGCTCGCTCTTCATCAGGGGGGCAGGGCATGCGCGCAAATAAATTGGATGCAATGTTGGCATTTGCGCGCCCGATCTGGTGATGCATAATATTCATACGCATTGCAGGTAAGCGACATGAACTGGTGGCAACTCCTGGGGCGCCTGTCGCATTACGCCACTCTTCCGTCATGGGCACAGGCTTGCAGAGATCAGGATGATCTGTAGATAGAGAGTCGAGTGCACACTGGATGATACGGATCATGCCTGCATGTGTGACTGCCTTCTCATAAAAGAGAAGATCCCGCATCTCTCTCAACCATCGTTTTGATAGCCTCACAGGACCACTCTCTACCCAGCCGCCCTTCCAGAAGTCGGAAACCATCATGATTGCAGAAGAAGCGCTCCTTCCTTGCCGCCTCACGCCAGATTGCAACTTCCTCTGTCGCATTTTCTAGCCAGATCCCAAGGTAATGATCGGATTCTTCTGGGGCGTCTCTGCCTGGAAGTGGCTTCAAGACGTATGGTTCGTTGAACATGAAGGCAAGGCTGAGAATGACGTAGTAGTAACCTTCCAGGTCGTGTGCCACAACGCGTGGAACAGGCGCTGCACCTGGTTTGTGAGCAAACATGGAATCCACAGCCATCCATGCTCGTGTACCCTGTCAATAATGTACCATTAGGAAGAGATAATGATAGTGGTTGATGCACTAACCGTCAGCTCATAAAGACCCCCACCGTTCTCATCACCATTAGCGAAATTCTGCAGGTCCTCTTCCACATTGGAAGCACCCCATGCCGACACCTTGATTTGAACGAACCCTTTGTCCTCTACCTGTACCTTCGCCACTTCAGGAAGTGCGCGTTTCTTTGAAGTGCTGGGTTCTGGATTTGCGATGCTACTGATCCCCCGCTTTCGCTGAACTTGAGCGACAGCCCCTGCGGGAAGCACACTGGAACCAGCATCAACTTGCTGACCTGCAGAACGAGTTTTAGCAGCTTTGCGTTTGCGAGGCTTGCGAGTTGTGGGCAAAGGGTGTGCAGGGGCGACTGGAATGGCCGGAGTGCTCTGTGTAAGCAGAGGTAGGGGAGACGGGATGGGAGAAGTGGGTGAGGTGTGAAGGACAGCAGCGTTTGAGGAGGTACGGATGACGGGGTGAGAGAACTGGGTGTGGTGTGAGGGAGAGCAGCGTCTTGAGAAATCGGAGGCAAGGAAGGGCGTGTGTTGTCTTCAAAGATCTTGGGTGGGAGCGGTCCTCGTGAGGAAATGTCTTGAGGGGCCCAGGAAGCAAATGCGTGGTCGAATAGCAAGCCACGTCTGATATTGCTATTGTTTATGTGACCCCAGTCAGACTTGTCGGGATGGACAAGTCCCAAGTTCCACAGCGAGGTATCTGCTTGCATGAACGATAGAGGGAATAGCTCATCACTCTCAGAGCCATTGTCTGAGATGCGGTATGGTGAATAGGCTTGACCATGTGCTGTGCGATACATTCAGTAGCAGCTGAGACCAGTTATTGTTGATACTCACCCCGGATACAGTCCATGACACCCGTCAAAGCTTCATAGACGCATGAAAATTCATAGATTGGCGCACATAGAGGGTATAAGAAGTGTCGAGTAAGAATACGCTCCTGGTAAACTTCCCGATCCATGCGTTCAAGTCCCTGATCATGCTCGGCATCATGAGCTTTAAGACTGGATGTCAGGCTGTGACGAGCCAATGCGAGTGTTGGAACATTCCAGGAAAGCCGATTGTGCACGGTGCTCTGCCACGGTAGAGCCTGGGCTTCCTTGTATTTCAAGGCAAGTGCCGGCGGGACAAATGCAGGGGGGACAAGCACAAGTCCCTCAAAGAGAGATCGAGTTACGCCCTGAACACCTTTCAATCGTAGATAGTTCAGGACCATGCCTTCTGTATGAGGCGTTGCGAGATCCAACCAAGTATCTTTGACAACAATCGACTCCATGTCAGCCATGCCCTTCAACCATTTCTGCAAGGCCTCGCCGTTCGGCCCCCGTTTCTCAATGCTTGATTGATCCGATCTTTGGGTAATGTGACCCGACGGACAACAGTGCCACGGCCATTGAGGTTGTTGCTGATGATAATACCATATCGATCGGTACCTTCCCAAAGTGTTTGGTTTGGATGAAACGAATGTCGCTGTTAGGGTCGTGGACGATTGTGGGGTCGAATCCCAGTAGACCTGTACCAACAGTTGTCATGTTTGGAAAACACATAGATTTGATTGTACACACCGCGATGGGCCAAAGATAAGTACAATACCAGCCTGAAGTATTCCTCACTATCTTCATGTATCCCTAATACGTCAAGACAAACAGATCCACCACGATCAAAAAATACGAAGGTAAACTGGGCACCAAGGAATTGCAAGACCGGGGCAAAAGTACGGGAATCCTGACTGGCGTACATTGTATTTGCCCGTTTCGCCACCTCATCATACCATAGCGGATTTTTGATGTCAACGCCACTCTTCTTCATCTCGCCAACGGTAGTGAGGTTACGCCAATCTTCAGGTAAGTCCGAATCAACGAGGATGATGTCGGGTTTGCGATCTTCAGCCGAGCCTGGAAGGACCTTCTGACAATACTCGGCGGACCACTTTCGATGGATATGAGACGGTCCGAGTAAGGTTAGCACCTCTTCTACCCGATTCAAAAAAATGGCCATAAGATCTTCGGTACTTGGCCCGTTACTGCGTGTGGCGTGGTGGGGTTGTGTAAGATCTGGACAGGCTATCGCTGGCGTCCAATGATCTATGTATCCGCGTAAGCTGACATGATGTATAATGGAATAGGGAACTCACTGTTCTGGTCGAGGAACCCTTTCACACGAAATATCTTCAGAATCTCCTTCACACAGCGGGGTCGGGTAGGGTCCTCCGGCCAAACAAGATTCTGAAAGAGTACTTCGTCGCGTCCCAGCTCCTGGATAATCCTGCGAGTGACGTCCTTCGCATCGCTTGCGGGCATCTCAAAGTAGCCCTTGTAAGCTTCCTCACTGTCCTTAATCTGACCCTTTGGCTGAAGGTCGGCCTTGAGTTTGCGGGCCTGCGCTACCACTTGGTTTTGGTACTCGTCGTTGTCGGTCTTGGCTATGATGCCTCGCGATTGGACCTTATCCATCAAAAATTAGCCACAATCAATGGTATGACTCTCCTTGCTCACCGATTTATATGACCTTTGTTTCAGGTGGAAAAAGGGCACAAATGAAGACATTGTATGTCGCAGAAAGTGTTTGAATGGCAGGATGAGGACACAAGCAGAGTTGGTTGTCAAGATGTAGAATGCACAGTGGCGGGGCGCAGGGACAGGATTTACCGAAAGGTTTATCGATGGGATGACAAACAAACATGAGTACTATTGCAAGGGGATACCGCGATAGAAGCAGATACTTACGATTATTATTTTTCAGAACTTGAATTCAAACACCAGTGGCATTGGTGAGTAAGGAGCATTGCGACCGTCGCTCGATATCGAAGTCTTGTCATGACGCGACACATGGGTGAAGCCCATAAGGCGGAAGAACATGATTGGTGGAAAGCGCATGCCGGGCCCCTCCAATCACGGTCCGAACCCTAAATTATGGTCATTCTTTTCGACAGTTGTTCACATGCACGCACTTCATATGATGTGTTATCAAAAGGTGGAAAAACATGCAATGAATTTTGATTTAAATGACAATGCATTATCTTAGTTTTTTTCAATAATGAAGTATAAAGTCACCTTGAGTCATTTGTAAACCGCCAGACAGGATAGGACAACTTGTGAAGTGATGGGAATGCGATGAACAACGGAGGTGATGGCATAAGCTTGATGATTTGTAATATCTGTGCAAAGTAAAGTTTTGGCGCTTAGCGCTTACGCACAATTCAATTCAATGGAATTGTCTGGATCCAGCACAGGGCCCGTGCCCGTTCGCACCCTTACTTATTCTGCTAACAACCTCTTATGTTTATTGGAAGACAGCGCCGATGATCTTATGCAGATGTTGGAAAAAACATGCCTCTGACCCCCGCATTGCATGCCCTCCATGAATACATGTTCTCCTGGGTTATGGTTCAAGGGCCTTAGCAGATAACGGTTTGCGTATATCAGATCACTTTGACACCCTTTAATTTGACACCCCGCGTCACATTAGCGATAACAGCAACGATTATCCTTTGAATCCTTCCCTTCCAACACCCAGCCCTACTGCAATGCTCACCCCCGATGCAATCCATCCCTTTCAACACCCAGCCTACGGCAACGCTCACCCCGATGCATCCACCCTTCTCCCAGGGAATTGATCCGCGCTGCTTCCTTCCCACTCCAGCGTCCACCCCCACTTCTCTGCACTCTCATTCTGTCGCATCTGAAACGTCAGTTGCAGCAGACAGCGGAATTGACCCGAGAGAAACTCCCTGTAACATCTACAGCTCGTCGGAGGCCACGCTGTAACGCTGATGTCGATAATGATTCATACTATCCCCCAAAAAACTTCGTCCTCACCACCGACATCCATCAAAGTACTCTTGCTGCAGGAGGGGAGCCCCCTGGGCCTGGGTTTGACCCCAATCTACCACAGTGTTGCTAATGCTAATCCCGACGATTGTAACCGCGGTGCACGTCGGTTACGAATACGTAGAGCTCGAGCTCTAGCTATGAAGGATGTTTTTGCGCCCCGGAGAGGAAGAAGAGGAATGGGAGGCAGATGGAGAGGAAGTGGGGGCGGATCAGATGGGGGCAGGAGGAAGTGGGGGGAAGTGCATGAGCATGATGCTGGTGACTCAGAGCAAGCCGTCAGTGGTCCTCAAACTCAACGACGAGGTGCATGGCGTCGACGTCCCCTAGACGATCCTAGGATTTCTTGCAGCGATCAGGCTACCGCAATCATTGCTGAGCTCGCAGCCGCACATTGTCTCTCTTCTATTCACGATCCACTTCGATGGCTGCAAGATATGGGAATTTTGTGCAAGTCCCATCTGTGGACGATGAATCTTTGTTATCACTGGTGGTGAGGTGTAGAGGAATGATGGGCAAGGACATTCGTATCAATTTCATGATCATGATTAATTTCATGACGCTTGTTTGTAAGTGTCAGAGGTGCGCCATCTAGAATCTTCACTTAGCTCGATTAAATGACACATTTTGAAAGCATCCGCCTCAAGACAGGCTTACACCTGAAAGGGATTTATGAGAATGAAGTCAAAGACCGCCCTTCAGAGACGAAGGTCACTTATCGCACTTTTTTGGAGTGGCATGCTACTGGTAGCAAGTTCATTGCCATCGCATGTGGTGGCTCCATATATGCTTTAGTACTCATCGCAGGCCTTGGTCTTAGAGTGTCCATCGCATCCATGGTTGGAACCACGCACTTACATCTAGCAGACATGCTACGATCACCTCCAAGGGGTAAGCGGACCTTTTGTCTTGGGCGATCAGACTACTAACCATGTATGTATAGATTCTCCTCAAAGAAAGCTGATTCTTGAACGCATTGTACCCACCATCGCACGCATGCGACTCTCCCATCCCTTCAGTATGACCTCAATGTTCTCTCGCGCTTTGATCGAGAGATTCTCCATCTCAAAGGATATCGACTGCACAGGACTTCTCAGCATCTGATCGGTTTTTTGATGCCATTATCCAAAAGTGCGTATGGCATATTCATATGCGATCTATTGACTAACACAGTCAAATTTTAGCGCATTCACACCACTCCATAGAAGTGGACATGTTTGGCGCGCTTGCATTGCGCCTGTGCCAACTGATCTTCAAAGGCTGCCCTTACACACTGTCAATCACAGTGAGCTCTATGGTGTAGGTCGTCCTTATAGTCCACCATTATCCGACATCGAGGAGGACGAGATCGCGCATGTTGTCATTGACACAGCGTTTGATCCATCATCAGCTAAGAACAAGTGCTTCAAGCCTCCTCGCGACAAGGTCCTGAACACTAGCTGTAGTGCGGCGGAGAGGTTACGAGCAGAGGCGGGTGAAAGGGTGAAAAGCCTGGAAGACTTACGCAACAAGGTGGGTGTGCAAGTTCCGATGCCAATCGTACTTATCTTGTCAACAGCTCAAAACTTTCTATCGCAATGGCGTCAAGAAATTACCTGGTGCATACTTACTAATCTCAATGCAGATCATGCCAAAGTACGTATCTGGCTCTCCCACACTGCTCTTGCACACTGAACTCTGGTCAGTCACCACCTAGATCTTCGAAACAAGGATGGGTCGTTGATGGCGTTTGTATCTACTGCACTTCCCACCCACATACGCGCTTCTCTGGAAGTCAATTTACTGGCTGCACTCGGAAATGCAGACTTGCTTGGAGATATGGATACGCGCTTGCCTGGAGGTAGACCTTTCCAGGCTATGCACCTCTCTTGGTACAATCGCCATTGTACATCGGTAAGCTAGCGCACATGGACTATCAGTATTTTGTTGTTAATATAATACTAGGGCCTTAACGCTCCAACAGACGTTCAACCTTGGCTGCTAGAGAAGGAAGGAATGCGCACAAACCATGGTCAAGTTATTCCCTACATATCCCAGGACTTACAACAGCACAGACTCGTATACGGAACAATCTCAAAGGTGTACGGGGAGTTATTTGAGTGGGTAAGACAGTTGGTAAGTTCGGTGAAATCTGCGTAGCATCCAAGCGCTAAATTGTTTCAATGGTAGATGGAGAATTACCTACAAGAAGAGTTCGAAATGCTGATGGAGGTCGCCTCAGTTTTGCCTGGCAACGCTCTTCCCCCTGTTGTTCCTTTCATTTCTCTAGTGATCAACATCAATGTTCGCACCAAAGCTCATAGAGACAGCGGTGATCGTCATCTATGTTTGGTGATACCTATTGGACACTTTGAGGGGGGGGCCTTGTGCTTGTTGGAGAATGGGCTAGTTCTGGAGTTGCGCAATGGTGACATAGCTATCTTCAGATCTAGTGAGGTAACCCATTTCAACCTAGACTACAGGGGGGGGAGGGCGTCCTTGGTTTTCCAGACTGACAAGGAGTTTGCATCATGGATTAGGAATCAAAATGGATGGGTAGACAACAATACTATGCATTCTTTTGTATAACTTACACTAGAATTGCAATGCACCAGATTCTGTAGACCTTTTGTTACGTTACATGCATGATCTCATATAAGCAGGTTACATTTTTACACGAACCACTTTTCTCACTACTACCCTATCATCACTATGCGAGTGAAAGGCAAAGGCAAAAGACCGCCTTCCCCTACTTCCTCAGCTCCTCCTGCTAGTAATAAAGGCAAGACAAAAGCAAGCAAAGTTATAACTGATGACCAGTATGACGAATTCCTGAAGTTTCAAGCTCAAAAAAAGAAGGAAGCTGAACTCAATCGTCGCAAAGGTTAGTGATGCTTTTCACTAATGTAATGATATTCAAATGCTAACTAATAGAGCATTGAATTAGGTTTGAGGAAGAATGTTGACGCCATGCTAGATGAAGAAGAGAGTAATACTGAGCATGAGATTACGGAGCATAACAAGAGGAAAAAAGGTGCGTAATCAACAAGATTTTGTGTGTATGATAACATCACCCATGATATAGTGAGCAAGAAGGCAAAACCTATGGACACAGATGAAGAAGTAGAAGACGATGCCAATCCTGATGATATTTTGCCTCACTTGGACCCTAAGAAAAAGAATACGCCCATAGCCAGTGAAGGTAAGTTATCATTGACATATCAGCTAGTATATTTGAACAATCATGTGTTTTAGATTCAGATCATTCGCGTCACCCAGAGGCAGATTCAGCAATAGAGACAGATGTAGCTGGAGAGCAGTCTGTGGTTAAGAAGAGAAGCAATGGTGTACGTCTGCTATACTTAATTGACTTCATAGCTAACTAATATTACATCTAGCTAATAGAAGTCAAGGATGAGTCGCAAGATGAAATGGCTGTCAGGCGTCGCAGAAGGGGGGCCAATAAAGGTGAAGTCAGACCACCTACTACCCTTGCATCTTTAAAAAAAGATGGATGCGGACCTTTGGTGGATCTTGCTCATCAACTGCTGAGAGTAAAAATTGCCCTGGAGAACGCCTTTCCTGGTCCTTCTGTAGATGTCCAGGACGCCTTTGCCTGGAACTGTATCAAGGAGGCTGGTAAAGAATCAGGCTCCCCAATGAAGGTTATGTTTGATCGCATTAGTGAAGATGATACACTCAAAGGCAGGGCATTGGCATATGTAAGTTCACTAATTTTTTATGAATACTTACTGACGCTGTTCTTAGGTATGGTCAGGTGCATCTCAGTTAAGGGGGGAGTTGGCTAGGAAGGCTAGAGAGAATGTGATTTTCATGTTGCAGCATTTACGTCCCAAGGAAATAGGTGATGTCTTTTCAGGTTATATATTTTTAAATCTAATCTCAACATTGTCTTCCTTCCTCAGCCGACATAGCTAATTGGGTTATATCTACAAGAAAGGAGCCGTTCCTTAGTGGTGAGATGGACATTAAAGTACGCCATCTACTTCTTACCTTTGTATATGTATACTGACTAGACGTGTATTCAGGCCAAGACCTTCAACAAGAACCTTCCTTTCCGCACACACCTCATCAAGCAACTTCTCATGGGCCAATTTTTTCAGGGCGCTGGTGCTGAAGGATTGCTTTACAAGGAAGAATTTCAAAAGCTTCCTGATAATCTTATTGCGCTTTTGGCAGCTTCAGTAAGTTTTATTATTCAATAATATTTCATACTAACCTTAACGCATCTTCAGATAGAGTGTGCATACAAAGGCATGCTCACAGGTACACCAGTTGTAGTAGAGTTCAAGGAACCAGTGTTTCAACCAAGGTGCATATATATTTTACTTTTTTGGATATTTTTTGGTTATATTACTGAACGTCATACATAGACATCAGTACTACTTGTCTAAACTCACTGAGTATAGCCTTAAGACTCCAGGCTATATGAAGAAATTGAGAGATGATCTGTGGACTGATATTGGGTACGTGTTTTGCGGTTTTAAAATCATATGATCTTGTTACTAACACTATGATAGAGAGGCTTGTCGTTTCCAGCTTAGAGAAGAGGGAGGCGACAGTGATGAATCTGATGTTGATTTTGATGCAATGGAGGAGTATGCTAGGCCAATGTCTGGTGTAGCAAATGTTGATGATGCTGTCGTCAACTGATATACTAGATTTTGTAAAATAAATATTTGACCAAATGTATCATCTGGATGACGCAATGAATTGATTGAGATATGGAGCTATATAGAAATGTCATAGGTCTGTATAACATCATATATCAAGAGGATACAGAAGATATAAGGGTCAATGTAGCCTGGTATAGATGGTTATAGTCATACAAATGATCCTATTATGATGAATATAATTTTTTAGACAGACTATATGGTGCTATACCCCACTATAACGTGCTCTACAGGCCTATATAATTGGGGACTTAGCTATGGGGCTATAGGTCCCATATGGTCTATGGGGGGCTATAGGGCACTATACTGGGCTATATAGAGTTAGCATATTTTCCTGATGTAAACGAGGCCAAATTCTCATAGAAGGAGAAAGCTCGCTCATGAAAAAGATAAGAAAGAGCACAGAACGAGAGCCCGAAGTAATGAAAGCGCTAGAAAACGCTAAAAGCAGCACCGGTACAATTGCGCAGAGGAATCAAAGAATGGAATGTTGAGGACGGATTGGTGTTATTCCGAGGATTGGTATACGTTCCAAATGATAAAGAGATCCGCCGAGAAATATTGGAGTTGTTTCACGACTCTCCACCGGCTGGACACCCTGGACGTGCCAAAACCCTAGAATTGATTTCCAGAAACTATTGGTGGCCTTCAATGACGAAGTATGTCCCATGATTATGTAGATGGTTGCGATCGATTGCAAGCAGACAAAAGTGTTCCCAAGTAGACCAACAGGACCTTTACAACCAAATGAAGTCCCAGAAGGACCTTGGCAAACGATCTCATGCGACCTGATAGTGGACTTGCCGAAGAGTGAAGGATGTGACAGTATATTCGTTGTCGTTGATCGATTTTCGAAACAATCACATTTCATTCCCACCACCAAAGACGTAGACTCGAAGGGAATTGCTGAGCTATTTCTAAAGAATGTATGGAAACATCATGGTACACCAAAGAAAGTGATTTCGGACAGAGGAACACAGTTCATTTCGAAGTTTATGGGACAAGTATCGAAAAGATTAGGAACAAAATGGTCTGCTTCGACCTCCTATCACCCCAGAACAGACGGACAAACGGAACGTGTAAATCAAGAAGTTGAACAATACTTGCGCATGTTTGCCTCGTATAGACAAAACGATTGGGTATCTTGGCTGCCAATAGCAGAGTTTTCACACAACAATGCAGTCACAGTAACCGGTCACAGTCCGTTCAAAATCCTCTATGGATATAATCCCGAATTCACAATATCTCCAAACTCTACATCCCTTATTCCCGCCGCCGATGAGAGAGCAGATCAAATGAGAGAAGCAAGAGATGATGCGGAAAATACTCTAAAGATGGTTAATGAACGCATGAAACGCTTCTATGACCGAGGAGTTAAAGACGCACCTCAGTATCAAAAGGGAGACAAGGTCTGGCTAGACGCAAAGAATATCAAACAACGTCGTCCAAGTCAAAAGTTGTCAGACCGTCGTCTTGGGCCCTTTGAAATACTAGAGAAGACCGGTGAAGTGAACTATAAATTGAAGTTGCCAGAGAGCTATAAGATTCACCCGGTTTTCCATGTGGAATTGCTTACTCCATATTATGCATCTCAAATGATCCCTCATTCTCAACCCACCCGACCACCCTCCAGACATTGTTGACGATCAGGAAGAATTTGTCGTAGAAGAAGTACTAGATAGCCGACAATTCCGAGGAAAAGTGCAATACCGAGTAAAATGGGAAGGATATCCGATAGAAGAGTCGACATGGGAACCAGAAGAGAACATTAAAACTCCCCGATTCTAATTGCGGAATTCCATAAGAAGAATCCCACGGCTGCTAAATCCAAACGAATTCTTGGATCTATCTTGGATACGGATGCATTCAAACAGTGGAGAGAGAAAAATATCCGGCCATCCTACATTCGCGATGACGCTCATCCTAGAGAGGGGGTAATGTCACGAATTCCAAATACAAATCATTACTCTTTCTTGAACACTCGTAAAACACCTGTTAAGCGCCCATCACAAGCGCCTGTCGTTAGCGCTCAGTCAACGTCTATACCTATAACCTTCACAAACCCTAACCCGAACTTCTCTATTCCATTAGCGCCCACTACTTCTATCTCCGACATCCCTAAATTCGACTTCCTTACTCAAGCGATCAAGTCACGTGACTCTAGAACCTTCGAGAACTCTTGCACAGCCATCACACGTTCCATGACATCATAGGTGTAGTTATATTTAGATCATCGTACGATTCCCTTTTCTATTTAATGATTGGCTAGTTAGTTCAGATTCAGATTCAGTCTCCGCTTCAATATATGTATATAGGTAGCTCATTGTAGTCAGTAGTTCTTCAGTTCAAACCTCTTTTGTATTAGCTTACTGCTAGCAATCCTAAGACGTCCCTGCTATCCTTTCTTCTTTGTTGTGATATCCTTGTTTGAGTCCTAGTCTCTGCCCCTGCATTAATTCGTTATAAGGGTTGTGACAATAATGTGGTGTTCGTGGGTGGCCAAAGGGTAATAAATTACTTCTTTGCTAGATCACTTCTTGATAGTAAAGGAGTATATATATTTTTTGTCAGGTTAACTGAAACCTAGTAGGTAATATGGACCTCTCTGAACTGAATGTGGCACGAATACGTAAAACGATGGATAAAACAATAGATTATTGTATAGGCGATCCCTGTAAGATAGTATACAATCAATCTAGACTAAAAGAATACGATTGTTTTCAAAGGCAACTCGTAGGCCTTCACTTTCTTCGTGATCTCACAGTGTTGAGACAGAAAGTGGGAAAACTCCTGACTTCAAATTCCTACGTTCCCACACGGTTTGGGAAAAGAATGGAAGGGGAAAAACTTATATATTATGTGAGAATGGAGTCCTTATATACATTTTAGAAACCATCCTTACTAAGCAATGAGTCATCACTGGATTGGTAAGATTATGCTTACAAACCAAGCCTTTTGGTGTGCTGAATCAGCTGCTTACTAAAGTACATGAGTAAAATATTACAAAGCACTGTAAAATATTACAAAGCATGATGAATCATGACAAAACATGATGAGTCATGGAAAGTCCTTACAAATCAGAATATTACCAGTCACATGACATGCTTACAAACATATCTGAGTGGCTCACTGATGTAATTAAGTGGCTGAATAAACATGAACAAATAATGGAAAGAGACAGAAACTACAAATACAACTAAATAAATAGAAACAAAGCTTATGTAAGTAAGAAGTATATCCTTTGTACACTCCTCTACTTATCTCCTTTTATACTGCTATTCGTATATGTCATGGTATGAACTCCATACTATGCATGACACCGTGGCACAGCATATTTCCGTCGTGCAATCACTTTGCGTTGCCGCAACATCTGACCAATCATGTCGACTCTATGCATCAAGCTTCTCATTCGATGCCGTGGAACACGAACACTATGGGCTCTCAAAAAGCCGACTAGGTAATGAAGGCCAGAATCTGGTTTATATATCTTGAAGGTCTTAACAAGGATATCAAGATTGGCATTGGAGATTGCTGAGAATCACTGATACACATTATGCTTTTTTAGATAACGTCAAAGAGTGTTCCGATGCATGCCCAAAGCGGCCGCCAAGCGCTTGAAGGTAATTTTTTGGTGAGGAGAGAGAGCATCTTCAAGCCAGTAACTGTCAATAACTTTGCAAGGACATCCACATGTCTGATGAGGTGGTATTTCTGTACTGACAGGGTTGACCTTTGCATATCTAGAATTCGTGCTAGATGAAAAGTTCGTCAGATTGCTTTCGGACTAGAAAGATCGTGACTGACATGTCTCCAGCAACTTCTGATGCCTGCCTCAGCTCGACTACTGTTGTAGCCAGTGCCCGAGCACATTCATCTGTCCATATGGCATCCTGAATTTCCAAGTCCAATGCTTCGAGCACAGGGAGTGAGTCATTCAAAATCTTCTCAATTATGGTCTGTAGTTGGAGTGGGTCATGGTCCTCCTGTTGAAGAACTCAGGTAGCATGATTGTAAGTACTATCAGAAATTATTCCATGTGCTTTTCTGGTGTCATGAGACCAATGTTGTTGTGCAGGTAGTTCTGGGAATTGTAGAGGACGGCCTTCAAGTTTTGACATGATACTAGTAGTACAGCTGAGCTGCTCGACTCACCCAAGAAAATTTCCAAGTCAATTTACTGTGACACGTAAACGGTCAGTGGCACTTCAACCATGTGCCCATTTTCATGTTCCTGACTCAGACTCCATCCATTGATGCCAGGTTTCTAACCTAGCAGTACTGCTACCTAGACAATGAATTCTAGGGCTTGTGAAGCGATACTACAAAGGTACATGCTGCTTTGCTTGTCATCTGAGTCAAATGTACTGACTGCCAGTGGTACCACAAAAATAGATCAACAATTCCTCAACACTCGGCAGCTCATTACTACAGTAATGAATTTGTTGTTCTACAAGTAAGCTTAACATGTGCCATTGAACCTCAGGCTTGTCCTACTAACTGCACGGTGTTGGTTGTTGCTAGGTTCAGTCACAGCTCTATCATATTCCAGCTGACATTCTTGCACGACGGCCCTAATGTCTTCGCAAATCTATTTTCATTGCCTCGCACTGGGATCCGTCAGGACGAGGGCCGTTCAGACAAATCCCCGATCATACTGGATGGACATTCCAGTGTAGATTTTGATTGTCTTCTTGATCACCTTTTCAGAAGGTGTGTTATTTGCTAGCCTCTATCTTACTACTAATTGCTTATAAAATTCAAGGATTCAAGCTGATACAGATGAACTTAGTCCTGCGAACACCGAATCTGTTCCCTTTCTGATCTCGCTCCTTCAAATGGGTGCCATCTTCGACATTGGAGTTGCAAAGTCTCATGCAATCCATCACCTCAAAACCCATCCAGATCTTGAATTGACAATGAAACTCCAGCTTTGCCACCGGTTCAGAATCATTACGTGGCTTTCTCCAACATTCAAGGCCC